TTTCAAATGATAATATATCTTTTGACATTACCAGTATATCCTAAACACTCATTAGGTTTGATTGTCAAGTACTAATGTTGTATACTACTTCTAAACTAAAGTCAATATCTGGTTTAGAAATAGCATTAAAAATGATGGAATGAGGGGCTATTTCTTTTAACGCTTTTGCAAAATTCTGAAAATTAAGTTTACAAGAATTATTAGAAATTGGATTAAATTTCTTATACAAACTGTCTACAAATGGTCTTTTTTTTTACAATGTTGAGAAAACTTTTCTCTGCTAAAATCTAGATTTTTAATTTTAACAGGTAAAACATCTTATCGATTTGGAAGCCATTGATTTGAAACCATTGTGCAGCAATCTTTAGGTTTGGCTCATTTCTGCCATTATAAACCTGCTATGTAGAGTGACAAGATCGGATTTTTGCATTTTCTTTTTCTATAATCAACGACAGTTTATTACTTTTGTCATTAATACGTTGTGAATGTCTGCATTCACCTTTTATTTCACAAAAATTAACTTTCCTCACTTATACAGTGATATGCGAGTTTTTGAAGCCAGCCTGTTTTATAAAAACTAAAAGCTTTTGAATTTTTATAATCATTTAAGTCATTGCTACCTGATTTAGATGGGTTAAACATTATGTAATATAAAATATCTGGATACAAAACCATTAGCCATTGTTTAATACTGTCCTTTTCAGATAACCAACCATCTAATAAGATAAACGGATCGCTACATTTAAAATTGTCAATCAAAAGTTTTTTTTGATATTCACTTTAAGTTCTCCCTCGGTAACAGTTAGTACAGGCTCAAGAAAGTTTTCAATTGCAGAAAATACACGAGCAACTAGTACCCTCTTTATTCCAGAAAACACAAATTTCGAAGTCTTGAATACTGCTTCAACTCATAAACTTTCATTTTATTAATTAAATCTAAATCCATTATGCTCAGTGCCGGCCTCAGCCTTGCCGCCCTCGTGCGAAATTTTTTCTGCCGCCGCTGACAGTTTATAAACTTGCTGGTTATTAAACCACCAAGTTTATAAATTAAACGGAAATTAAAAACAAATCGAATTCAAAAATAATACTTTGAAATGAGATGCTACATACAAAGAAACGTTTTTTTGTTTATGCTTTACACAAAATACATTGAATTTTTAAATTAATCTTGTTGGCCTTTTTATTACCAAAATCTTTGATTAGCGTTGAAAATTCAAGATTTTCCGCAATTTTGTTTTCAATCGATAGGGTTTCTAAACTTGAAAGCCTTTCCTGCGATATTGTTGACCGCAGAGATTCATTTTTCTACTCGCTACAGTGACAGGTATTGTTAGCAAAATTTGCATTGCAATCCATGTGTTTGGATACAAATCTTGCATTTTATGCTGTTTTTTAAAGTTAAAAAAACCAGTATTAGGAGTAATTTTATCCTTTACCATTTCCAAAAGAAAAGGTTTAATGCTCACCAGTTCATTGCAAAGGAGAATACCATTAATGTCCGATTTTAGATTTACGGTAAGCTTACTTTGAAGGGCTAAACATGATTTTAAAATTTCTTCTCATTTTTGCAAACTATCGACATTATACAAAAAACCCCAAACTTCTAAATCTCCAGCTGTATAAATCTTTTTCTCATTAAAATTAGAGATGTGTCTAAAAGAAGATTGAAAAAATCGATTTCTAATTTTTTTTCAGGAGAAAATGAATTAATCCCATGGGCTGGTTTTTTAAAATGGCGTTTTACTTGTACTATTTTTTTAAGTGGTTTAAAAACAGGCTCCACTAGTGATTCTACGGCCAAATCTTTTGCTTTTATAATTGCATCTTTAAAACCGCATTTTTTGTAGTTTTCTTAAAAGGAGCAACAGCTTTTCACTAATTTTGCACATTGAGTAATGTCCATATCTTTCTCTTGAAGAGTTTTACTAACAGTATTGACTTGAAAAAGAATGTCATACCAGACAATTAAAGAGATAAGAAAGCTAAAATCTTTAAATTGCTCTGCTAGAGTTATCGTTTTATGTGCAGTTTCAGGATCACATCCTTCAATTTCTGACAATGCTATCAAAGCATCATGTATATCACCAACTTGATAACAAACGGCTTTGGCACTACTTATTTTTGCTTCCCACCGCGTGTCACAGTTTCTTTAAATGCAAAATTTTAACGTGATCAATTAAAATTTTCCATTGGCTCACTGAAGCTGAGAATAGAGTGAACAATCTCTGGAGAGTACCAAATAAAACTATACATTTTACTGAAGACCATACTGAGTCACTTATTACCAAATTTAAATTATGACTACCGCAGGGAACATATAATGCTAAAGAATTAAGGTTTAAAATCCTTTGTTGTACCCCATTTAACTTTACTTTCATATTTGATGCATTATCATACCCTTGACCTCTGCAGTTAGAGGTTTCAAGAAAATGTTTAGTTAGCAATACGATTAAAACTTCAATAAGTCATAAGCCTGTAAAACTTCAGTAAAAAAAAAAACCTAAAAAGTACTCTTTAATTTCAACTCTAATGTTTAAAGACAAGTCAACAATTCGAGTTATAAGAGAAAGTTGTTTTTTTCTAAAAATACCAGGTGTACAATTAGCAATGATTGAATAGTAAACGGCTTTCAAGACTCGGTTTATTATTTCACCATTAACCTTTTGAGACATTAAATCTATTAACTCGTTTTTAATATTTTTCCCGCAGTAATGATCTGAAGTGCTACCTTTTGTTGCAAGCGCTAAATGTTTTTGTATCACAGGATCAAATTTTGCAAGCATCTGTATTAGTCCAAAGAATTTGCCGTTTTGAGGTGTAATCAGTTTATCTGAACTCCCTTGAAAAGCCATATTAATTTCAGCTAGGTAAAGAGTGATATTCATCAGCCGAAGAAGAACATTTTGCCATCGCAAACTGTCTTTTTTTATAATTTTAAGTTCTTCATTATTTATATTTTTTTTTAGTTTTTAATCTTATTTCAGTTTCCATCCACTGTTGATAACATTTCATATGGGAGACGCTATTTTCATGAATTCCTAATGTTTCAGTTAAATGTCTCCATTTATTGAATCCATCAGAGACTAAGTTTGACTTTGAATAATTATCAAAAAGTAGACAGAAAAAACAAAATACAGAGTTTTTAGAATCTGAATAAACCAACCATCTACAGCAAAAGGTTTCTCCATTTGCAAGTTTTCTGTTGTAATAAATGCTAGAAAAATGTTGACCATTTCCATCTTCAGGGTATTTTCCTTTGTAGTTTGAAAATGACCAAGTTTAATTAAATAGTCCACAATTTTGCTAAATCGAACAATTGGCCACTTTCCACAATCCAATAAACTAGATTTTTCTTGTACAAAGTCTTCCGATAAATCATTTGCTTCTTTTAAAATAACTGGTTTATTATCTACTTTGATATCCAATGAAGTTATACAATTATTTTTGAGTATTTTTGAAGGTTCTGAAGGTATTGTCGAAGACATAGTCGTAGAGATAGTTGAAGCATCAGAGTTGAAATTTTCACGACTTTCGTCAGGTTTTTTATAAGCAACATATTTTCCAATGCTCATAAATTTTTTAATTTTTTCAAATTTTTGATCTTTTTAGGACTTTCTTTTTCTGAACTCATACCCAGACAACTTTTTTCTCGAATTTGAAATATTATGTGACATGAGACAAATTATTTTTTATTCGTAAGATAAAATTATTTTTATTTTAAAAAATATAATTATAAGTTCTCTAGAAATATCAGGGCCGACGACACGGGTTTTGAAGTGTGTGTGTGTGGGGGGGGGGGGAGACAATCATCAATTTGAGAAAAAAGTCCTCAATATCAAGATTTTTATTGAAAAAAAAAAAGAGCCTCTAGAAAAAAAGTATGGGGTACGCGCCCCCATACTTTTTTTCTAGAGGCTCATATGTTCCCCCCCCCCCCCCCCAAATTTTTTTCTAAAGGACCTTTATTTTTTTTTTAAGAAAAATCTGAAAAATCTTGATATATAAAACTTTTTTCACAAACTGATGATTGTGCCCCCTCACTTTAAAACCCTTACTTTCAAATGCTTTTCTGCGGTGCTCTATGATAAAACCTTAGTGACTTCTTTAAGTACCTAAACTAAATTTAAAGAAAGAAAAAAAAATGCTTTTGAAAGTTTTTAGAACTTTAATCATCACATTGATTTAAAGACTGAACTAAAATCAAGATATTAGGAGTTATATTTACATTGCTATTATTCCTTATTTATGATTTTATTATGCAAACACCAAACACTCCTGAAAAATTAAACAAATAATAGTAAACTTTAAAAATTGATTGAAGTTTATTGCGCAAATTTATACTATTAACAATATTACTTGTGCAAAGTTTTATGAGAAAAAGATGTTGTTTCTATATTTTTATCGTTTAATCTATTTGTACAGATTTTTTTTTTTTTTTTTTTAGCTCGAATACTTTTTAAAGAATTTTTCAAAACTTCTGAAAGTTCGTGTTATCTGTTCACATAGACTCATTACTGGGGTTATCTTCTTTGTTATTCCGGAAAAAGTTAGTAAATTAGACCTAAAGCATTTAAGCATTATTTATGTGAGGTAAGGAGATCAATAAAATAAATTTTTTTTTTCTGGTTAATCATTTTTAAAGTAAATAACTTCATTATATTTTCTTGAGACAAAACAACAAATAGCTAAACAATTTGCAACCAAAATTTGCGAAATTTCTTGAGTGTTTTCAAGAAAAACAGTTACGTTGTTTTAAAAATAAGGATTTAATGTAAATAAGGAAAAACTGGATTTTTAAAACTTGCGAAAAAACGGAAACCTGGGAATAGCAAAAGTCGCGTACAATAAAATCAAACAATTGATCATTGTTCGCAGCCAGACTACGCTTTTCTTAAGACTACGATTTCACAAAACAAATAAGGGTTTATTAAAGTTCTTTACAGTTTATCAGCATATTTTCACCGTGTTGTCGATAAATCTTAACTGTTAATGCTGATTTATAGGCCAACTTCAAGTTCCATAAATGTCAGTTGTTTGAAATTCTGCGTTCCTCTTTGCTTTTGAGTGTAAATTTCGTTTGTACTTCGGGTTATCATGGAAAACACGCACTTACAAAATCATCACATACAACAACAACAACAAGAGCCAAAACAATCTACACGAGACATAAATGATGTAGGTGACTTTGACTTAAGAAGTAACGATGCCGTTACAGATATATTTAAACCAATTAAAAGATTTTCAAGGCGCTGTAAAATATGTCGAAAAAGATTTCAGAATATAGAGACTTTAAGAACGCACGTAAACTTTCACAGAAAAGTAAAAAAGGATATAAATAATGTACATCGTAATTATTTCTGTCGTTTGTGTAACACAAGTCATTATGGTCTACAATCTTTCCTTGAACATCAAAAGGTGCACCAGCCTCGTTTTATTTCCAACGATTTCTTGTCAATTGATGATAACACAACCTTGCCGATACAAAATGCAGGCCATGGTTCTAATGGTGGTGAACAGGTTTTACTTCGAACGCACAATGGTGACATTCAACTAGCTATTATTTCTTCAAATGGACATTTAAAGGATGCTTCAGGTACTACTATATCACCAGGTATGTGTAAATATTTAAAAAAATTCGTACAAGAATAATTCAAAGTTTGACCAAGTTATTGTGGCAAAAGTTTTATTATGTCTGAAATAAATAAAAAAAAAAAAACTTTTATACTTTTCAACTGACATATGTAAAATGTCTTTTTCTAAACAGAATTAATAATGTATCCACATATATATTAAAATTTTTTGCAATTAAGGTAGAGTTGCAAAAAAACGCGTTTTTTTCCTTTGGCGTTTTTTTGGGTCAAAAAAACGTGTTTTTTTGTTTTTTTTGATGTTTTTTTGATGTTTTTTTGGTTTTTTTGGTGTTGTATTGCTTTTTTTAAACAATTTTTCAGTTTTTTTTTACATAAATTTAGGACTAGTTTTCCTTTAATCTAGTATAAATTTTTGTATTTGGCCATTAAAGGCACAATTAGATGTATAAACACCAGTTTAACAAAAAAATTTTATAAAAAATTTAAATTAGCTTTAAGTTAGTTATATATTTAGGTATACTGTATGAAAATGTTTATTTTCTATTTTATTGTACTAACAACTGTGATACTCTCATTATATATAAAAACTATTCTTATTCTATAAAAAAGTTACCATTTTAATTTTGATAATGTAAATACATTAATGTATAACACCATGCAAATTTGATATCAGACTTAAAATGCTCAAAAAAATAAGCTATCACCTGATGATTCGTATCACCCATTCACCTGATGATTCGTAATTTATTTATTTGTAAATAATTTTTTAACAGCATTTTTTTTTTCTAATTACATTTATTCATCTAAATATTTTCATATAGCAATATATCAGAACACTTGCAAAATTCTTTAATATGCTCTGTTTTTTAAGTTCAATTTTTAGACATAATCTTATGGCAAAAGAATTGTTTATCTTTTTCCATTTTACTAATTTGGTTCAGAGGTTTAATGGGTGACTAAGGCTTTATTTCTGCCCCCTGTATGGAGAGCCTAATCATAATTCTTTTTGTTCTTCCTGTTGATTACCAACAAGAAAAAAAAATTTACTTAATAATTTAAAGATATCCATTTCTCTTTATATATATATATATATATATATATATATATATATATATATATATATATATATATATATATATATATATATATATATATATATATATATATATATATATATATATATATATATATATATATATATATGTATGTATATATAGATATTATGGTGCTTTAAAAATCACTACTCAGTGTTAAAGTATTTTTTGTCTTAATCTATTTTTTGTCAGTATTTTTTGTGTTAATCTATTTTTAGATTCTAATTCAGAAAAGATTTATATAAAATTTCTCTTTATTTGAGTAATAAGTTGACTTTTTTAATGTAAACATTTTAGAGACCATTTAAACAATATTAGGGACCTGTTGAATAGAAAATGAGCTTAAGTATGAACTAAATATTGAACAATTAAACTTTAATTAGACTTGAAACTTCAAATTGTGTATCTGGGATTATTAAATCATTTCTTTCTAACTGCTTTATTATAATCATCGTCAAATGCCTACTTATTTATTTCCAGTAACTTCTGGGGTTAATCTCAAGGTTCTATTCTTGGTCTGTTTTGTTTCTTATCTACATTATTGATCTTCCTGACAACCCTACATCTATAGTAGCTCTTTTTGCTGATGACTAAAGTTTTTACTCCTGTCTTGACAAAAAGTCTTCTCTTTTTGATCACTTAGAATAGGCAGCCAATTTTGTATCTGATCTTACTTTTTTAACAGATTGGGGCTCACATATTTTAGCATATAAATTTTATTTCTAACTAAACTCAGTTATTTACTGCAAACAACTACCACAATACTGTTGACATTCCTATATTAATTAATGGTAACCCTCTTACTTAGTCTTCTTTTTTACATCTTCTTGGAATATTATTTGCTACTAACCTTTCATGTACACAAAATATACAATTGATTGCTAAATTAGCATCCCTTTATCATTATCGTTGTTTTCTTGATTCCATTCTCTACCTCTACAAATATCTTTTTGTCCCTGTATGGAATGTTGTTGTCATATTTGGGCTGGTTCTTCTTATGATGCCCTTTTTCTTCTAAACAAGCTCTATCTGCTAAGCTTGAGCCTCTTTCCCATTGTCGTAAAGTTGCATCTCTTTCTCTTTCCTACAAATTCTATCATGGCGGCTGCTCAAAATAGTTGTTACCTCTAGTTCCATTAACAAAAACTCATTCTCGACTCTTTATTATGCTAAGTCTCATTCATTAGTTGTTAAATTTTGTTAAATATAATAAATGTAAATAAATGTTTATTGTGTCAATATACACTAAAAACAGTAAAGATAAAGTTGAGGAAGATAAAATTATCAAAGAAGTTTTTATACAAGACTGCTTCAACCGTGATAACCTTTAACCGTGTTAATATACCAAAACAAAAATTAATTCAGTAAATTTCAGTATTTATTGTCCTATTTAAATCAGAAATTAAAATATGAATTAAGATATTGCCATTAAAGTTAAATTTAGTAACTTAAACAATGAATTTTTGACTATTTCCCAATAAAACCAAAAAAACGGACCCCTATGTTTTTTTTCCAAAAAAACGACCAAAAAAACCAAAAAAACAAGAACCAAAAAAACGCGTCACATCTCTAATTTTAGGCATTATTAAAGAGATGATCATCTCTTAAAAAATTTTAATTTTATTGATCCTCTTTCATAAGAAAGAGGATCGATAAAATTCAATTTTTTTTCTCAGTCATTAACTTCTGATTTGATAATTCACATTTTTTTGATTCTGTAAATATAATACTTTTATCCCTATTAAGTATTATCTTTAAGAAAGAACTTTGGAGCTTTGATTAAATTTCAGTTACTATAAATCTCAAGTTCCATTAACTAAAACTCATTCTTGCTTGACTCGTCATTCAGTAAAGTCCCATCCTTTTACTGTATCTGCCCCTTTTTCCTGCACTTTAACCCTTTGGAACTCTCTTTCATCTTTATGTTTTCTTGGCTCATACAACCTACCACTTTTCAAATCTTCTGGCAATTGTTTCCTTGCTGTTAAACTCTTTTTTTTTTCTTCTAGCAACTTCCTTAATAGTGGTTGCCTGCAGCCTTGATAGGAGTGAATTTGAAATTCCAAAAAATAAAATAAAAACTGAATAGTTTTCAGTTGTTATATTTCCTAGTCATGTAGTTTATACTTTTACAATCTTATTGAGTCTATAAATATTAATGAAGTACTAAGTTTGCAGGAATGCTACAGTTAAGCAGCCTAAAATAAAGTTGTTTTTTGTTTTAACATGGTGAAGAGTGTAGAAACTGATTGCAATAAAATAATATTGTTAAATGACAATAAATATTTATAATTTATATATTTATTATAATAATACAAGTAGTTAATTATATTTACAAAATGTTTATATGATAATTCGAATGATAATAAATATTTTAAGATGTTTTTTAAGTCTCTATTAATAAAAGTGTAAAGATAAATTTATTTCAAAACAATTAACTGTAGAATTACCAAATCTGCTTGTGTATATTATATTATGTAACAAATTTTTACTTTTTCTATTCCTGGGTTAAAAGTGTGTTTTCCTAACCTGTTAGGTCTAGAACAGAAAGGAAATCGCTGTTATTCCATAAAAATTTTGCTTCTGTGACTGGGACAATGAAATTTGGAAAATCGCCTGTTTTCAAGAAAATTCTCATTTTGCTTTCAATGCTGAACTTCCTTAACTACTAGGGTTGTTCAGATGTTTCTGCAATTCTTCTAAACAATCTAGAATGATCAAGAAACTTCCATAACTTACAAAAAACTCTCAGAACTTTCTAGAATGTTCTTGAATGTTTCAAAAGTAGCTTGTGCAAGAATAAAAGCACAGGTGTCTTGAACAAAGATTCCAATTTATGTTATTGCAAACTGAAAGGATAACGATTTGTAGTTGAAAAGATATAGCATTAAGAGGTTGTTTGTATCCAGCTGATTCATTCTGCTATGTGTGCTGACAATTCATAAAGAAAAGAACAAAAAAGTATTCCATGGAAGAAAGTTGTATAATGTGCAAGGCATATTTCAGCATGCCAGTCGGTGCAAGACAAATCTTAGACACCGCATTTCACATGCAAGTATTACAAGAAAAAACTTGAAGGTAAACTGAACAGTTACTTCTCGCTTAGATGTGTATTAATTTATTTTCATTAAATTTTAAGGCTTTTAGACCTAGTTTATTTCAAGAAGTTGTAATATACTAGGGATGTACTGGGAATCCGTTCCTGGCGGAATTTGTGAATTTTAGATCATTCCGGTTCCAGAGTTAAATTTTTTCAGGCCAGAATGTCGGAAATTATTTTAACCTTCATTTTATAAGACATGTGACACAAACTGTGTAAATTAAATCGAAAAATTATTGTCCTACAGGGCAATGAAGGACTATAGGTAAACCTAGGTAAAAAATACAAAATGCAGTAATCAATTATGTATGGGTTTTGAGAAGTTTAGGATTATTGTAGTGCAAAAAGATTTGTACACCCCCATCCTCCAATGCATTTTGCTATACGCTTTTTTGAGTACTCCTCACCTCCCTAAAAGTACCTATGCTTTTAACCTACCTACCTAACATTTTATGATATTTTCTTTCAATTTAGTGTTTCCTAACTTTAATATTTATTTCAGCCCTCCATCTCATAAACACCATTTGCAAACCCCCTCTTCCTATCAGAGCGTTCGTTCCTTATGAACGATCTCTAAGTATAATTCTTGTTCTGGCCGAAATTTTCTTAACAATTCCGGCAAATCCGGTTCTGGCCGGATTTCAAAATTTCCAATCTGGTACACCCAAAAAATCCAATCTGGTACACCCCTATAATATACAAAGTTTTGTCATTAGTTGTGTACTGTAGGCAAACATGTTCCATTTTGAAATCGTTCCATATTTTGAAATTTCTTATCCTCAAATTATTATAATTTTTATGTATTATTATGTGCAATGTTACAGGTTGGTACAGAGAAGAAAAGTGAGCCTTTAAGTTTGCTATTCCGCGAAGAAGCCAAAGAGCTAACAGAACACCCAAGCAACTGCTACTTCTGCATGATAAACCCAAAAAATTGTTGCATTGGCAAAAATGGCCTTCAGATCCTTTATTCAGACATTCTTCCATTGCCCCAGTGCCACAAAGCCTTGATCTGCCTAAGCGGCATCAGGCATCAGGTGACAGCAGCAAGTCAAATCATGAGGTTGTTACTGGAGATATAGACTACGATTCCACAGATGAAGTTGGGGATAGAAAGCCATAGTTCCCTAAACAGGTAGACGTAAACAATTTAATTAGGGACCTCGGACTTACAAAATCAAATGCTGAGCTTCTGATACTCAGGCTCAAACAGTGGAACCTGGTTAATGATAGTGTATAAGTCACGAATCAGAGGAAACAGTATCAAAAATTCTCTAACTTCTTCAGTCAGCATGATGATGGTCTATTCCTGGCTATAGGTATTGCATATAATTCTTTTTTTGTTGCAGTTGTTCAGGATTTCCTAGGTAATCTCAAAGTTAAAAACTATGTGGAGTTGGTACAGACTCTCATAAAGAATTATGCCAAAATGGGGCACAAAATGTCTCTGAAAGTCCATATCCCTGATTTGCATCTTGACAAATTCATAGAAAACATAGGTGCTTTCTTCGAGGAGCAAGGCGAGCGTAAGCAATTGAAACATAATACTCAGAAGCCAGGAACAAAAATTGTGTTATATAGTGCTATTATTCTTTATTTCCAGTAACCTCTTTTTTACCACATTAGGCCTTGTTGCAAAACAGAATATGCTTTTATTTCATGTCCCTCCTACAGGGTGGTCACTGGTCATGGAAATCATGGAAATGTTATGGAATCTTATTTAGTTGTGGAAAAAGTCATGGAATTCCTAAATTTTTATTGAAAGTCTTAAAAAATTCATGGAACTTTTTAAAATGATCTTAATTTTTTTCTACTTGTGATATTTTTAGGGTGCAAAGAAAAGTACTAGTATGTCTAGTCTAAGTCCTTTTTGAAAAATATATTTTTGCAGTGTTATCAGATTATCAGAAAAGTAAAAGAAAAATAGTTTTTTTTCAGACTTTCTACCGATTAGTTTTTGGTTTGCATGTTTTATAATGACCAACTTGCAAATGCTTAGTGCATGACAAGTACTAAATATTTCCCTCTAGTGATTTATCATATAAGTTTTTGAAGAGTCATGTAAAAGTCAATTTTCAAATTTGAGTGGCCGCCCTGCAAATTTGAGTGGCCGCCCTGTCCTAACAAAATTTTCTAGTAAAACTTATCATTTGTCAAGTTGCTGCTTTACAGAATAACATCTAAACATCTGTTCATAATGATTGTTTTGTTCAAAAAAAAATTTGTTTGGCTGATTTATTTTACATATATAGATGCTTTAGAATGCATATGAAATAGTGGTTGAAGCCTTGTTGCTAATGTATTAAAAAAACTTTTATGTGGTATTAATTGTATTGCATTAGCTTTTGTTTTAAAAAGGCTGCTCCCAATTTTTTGTTTAAACATTTATACTAATATCTTAATCTAAGTATGATTGCATGTATATTAAATTTTAGGGTTTATTAGCAACTTTCAAAATGTTGTTTCATCAAATGCCAATCTTCTACCAGATGTTATGCCCGGATGTACTATTGCACCTTCAAATCAAGCAGCATTGCCTGCTCCAAGACAGCCTTCCTTAACTGCTTCAAAACCAAACAATGATGGATTACATATTGATGTACCAAATCATGTAAGAGCAATCTATTTGAATGGAGACAACTCAAATATAAGTATGTTTATTATTTTTATGTCATTATTGAATTATATTAAATATTGTTAAATTGATATTATATTAAAGATAATAACTTTTTAGCTGACTTATTTATAAGCAGATTCGATGCACATATCATAACATAAGGATTAACACACTGTGTGTTACACGAACATTATTTCTACTCTTCATTAATACATTATAAACTATTTATTCTTTAAGGATTTAGTTTATTATAAATATTATTGATTTCTTAATAAAAAAAATTAAATTGTTATTAAACAAGAATATTGTATGGTAATTTTTAGATATTCTTACCAAACAGTTAGATATTTTAAACAATAAAGTGGATTGCTTATTAAAACATTTTAACCTTTCTGTTGATAAAGATGGCAATCTTATTGCATCGACAGGATCACTTGACATTAACCTTGACAAGAGCCTGAAAGATGAATACTCGTCTTCAGTCAGCTGTAATTCAGAAGGGTATCCTCCATCCTATTCTGTAATACAGGTTACATATTTTTAAACTCTTGTGTTCATATCAAAAATATTTTTTTCAATTATATATATTTTTATATATACATATATCTACTGTAGCATATATAGATCAGCAATTGCTTACTAGTTTTGCTTATCTTTATATCATACTTCTTCAGAAAAAGAAGAAAAACAAAGAATAGTGAAAGAAAAGATTGCTGCCCCACCCTAAACTTTCAGTTGATGTATCAGCACCTGTTTCTTCTGCAGCAGCAGGCTTATTCAGTGTGGCGTCATACTAATTATCTAAACACACATTTATAGTTGCGTCTGTGTGTGTATATATATATATATATATATATATATATATATATATATAAATATATATATATATATATATATATATATATATATATATATATATATGTATGTATGTATGTATGTATGTATGTATGTATGTATGTATTTATGTGCGTATGAATGTATGTATGTACGAATGTATTTATGTATATATGCATGCCTGTACAAATGTATCTATGTATTAATGTATGTGTATATGTAACACTAACCTTTTTTTGTTGACCTTCATAATAGATGAATTTATTTTATTATCTTTATTCATGTATCCATTTTTAAAATTTAATTATCTTTATTCATGTATCCATTTTTAAAATTTAATTATCTTTATTCATGTATCCGTTTTTCAAAATTTAGGCATCAAAGGAACAACAGCAGCAAGAGTACTATGCTTTGACCCTTAGTAGTCGACAACTTCATCATGGTTTAAAAGGTGGCATTCAAATTATAAACCAATCTCCTGAAAATATTAAAATTAATCAGAAGTCTACCAAAGGTAAAATTATTCTTGTATAGACAGAGGCAGTATTGTAAAATTTTAAAATCCGAATATCCTCATTTGAAAATAGTAAAAAGCTTAAGGAACTTTTAGTAGCAACAGTAATTTAAAGTAACTTAAAAAGTAGTATAAAAAATTAGTTTCCAAATATTTAAGTATATGGGCAAATCCATTTTTAACTTACGATACAGGCGCAACAACTTTACCAAATGATTGCCTATTTAAAATGTAAATTAAACCTTCAGCAATTTTTTATGAAAGGTGTAAGTCTAAAGAATAAAATAAGCTAAAATATGACCAAGAATCTGTCCAAAAAAGGGCAAACTTATTTCTGAAAATGCCACTTAACTTACGTTACACAGAAAAGGTAAAAAATGTGCTTCAACTTTAAGGTCAGATTTCTGCAAATCAGTAAAGCAGTTTGTATTAAAAATCTTCAAAATGTTGAGAATTCTATACTAATTTAAAAAATATATATCAGAGTATATAAAATAATTTATTAGAGGTGACCAGCTCTAGAAAATAAACTGTTTTTTTTTTTGATAATATATATTTAACTTACTTTACATTACTTACGTTACTGAGCGAATATTTTTGTGGATTTTTTATATCTATTATTAAGGTTAGAGTTATGTAATTACAGATTTGCAAAAGTATTGAACTCATTCATTGAAAAAAATTATCAAAGAAAATTTTAAAAAACTGGTGGCACTCTTTCTGAGTGATTTTTCATAACGTTTATGGAAATTATCAAATTGAATACAGTTTTTCTGCAAGACCAAAAGCAACTATAAAAAATTATTTTAGTATTACAACTTTATTAATACTTATTTGAGTCATTTAAATATGAAAATTTTTGGTTTGTCAAAGTTCTTACTTATACTTCTTACGTTTATCTGATTATGCAAATAAATTCATGGTTAAAATAACAATTTACAATGATATTTTTAATGCTTAAATAAATTTAATTTAAGAACTGAAGGTATATAAATAAACTTTCATCTCTCATCTCAAATCTCATAACCTACTTTTTGATCATCAATATGGATTTCGATCTTCTCGTTCTACGGCTGGTTTGCTATCAGTAATAACCGATAGGTTTTATCGCGCATTAGATAAAACCTATCGGTTATTACTGATATACAAGGTGGAGAGGTTAAGGCCATTGCTCTTGACATTTCTAAAGCGTTAGATTTCTTTAAAGCATTAAAGTTTGGCATGCTGGACTTCTCCATAAGCTTTCTTCTTACGGTGTATCTGGAAACATCTTTAAGATTATTGAATCCTTCCTTTCCAATCGTAGTATAAAAGTTGTCCTTGATGGACAACACTCTTCTTATTCTGTAACCTCAGGGGTTCCTCAAGGTTCAATCCTTGGCCCTATACTCTTTTTAATTTACATTAACGATCTTCCAGATATTCTCACATCTAAGGTGGCATTGTTCGCTGATGATACGACCATTTATTCTTGTCACAATAACAAGCCAACTCCCTCTGATTGCTTGCAGGGGGCATTTGAGCTTGAAAAGGATCTCACTTCTGCTACAGCATGGAGCTCACAGTGGCTGGTGAACTTTAATTCAGATAAAACTCAATTTTTTTCGGCCAATGGTTATCGCAATAGTTTAGACCTTCCTATATTTATGAACGGTAATGTACTCGATGAGTCTCCTACCCTTCATCTTCTAGGATTAACTCTTACTTCTGATCTTTATTGGAAACCTTATATCAAATCTGTTGCAAAATTAGCATCTGCTAAAGTTGCTTCTCTTTATCGAGCTCGTCACTTTCTTACTCTGGATTCTATTCTCTATCTCTATAAATCTCAAATCCGGCCTTGTATGGAATACTGTGGCCATAACTGGGGCGGATCTTCTAATGATGCCCTCTCTCTTTTAGACAAGGTGCAAAAACGCATTGTAAACATAGACATTAGATTTTCATTTTCATATTTATTAAAAATAGATAAATGGATTTATATTAAACTTTTATTGCAATTGTTTATGGATATTTCAAGCTAACCTGTTTTATTAGTAAAACAGAAACCTTGTTTTTGTTACTCAATATAAATTGGTGTATCTATTGCAGTAGTTAACTAATTGTGTTAATAAACAGTATTAATTTTTTTTTTAAAGAAAAGCTGGATTTGAGTCCTTTTTTGACTGAAAGCACAGCTAACAAATACTCAAAATTTACAGTTAAAGTAGGGTCATTTCCACACTTACCCTGAGTCGACACTTATTATAGGTTATAACTAACAGAAATTTTACAAGTAGATATTTATTTTTTATATTTATATTTAACAACATTGTCATGAACTTCTATAACCGCAATACATATTACTTTTATGAACTTTTATTACTTATATGAACGTCAGCATATGAAAATACTTTTTTTTTCAAGTGGCAGCTGTTAAAAGCGTTTTAAATAAAAAAAAGGAATTTAAAAAGACAACAAAATTTTATTTCTAAATCAAACTTTATCAAATAAATAAAACATAAATCATTTTTAATATTATTAAAACTGCTCATCATTATAGTATAAATGTATTTGTGAATGTACGATATGTATGAACTAAAAAAATTATAGTTCCATACATATAGTATGTTCAATGAATGTCCTTTTTTACCATAAAAATCAATACTGTTTTACTTAGATATTTTTACAATGGCAAGACAAAAATATGACTTGTAGCTTAAAAGGAAGATCAGTGTACAGTAGTGTTGATGAACTAAATGGTTTAAACCATTTGATAAATATCAGTTTGAAACAAAATAATATTTTTTAAACAACCTTAAGTTTACATCAGGAAAGTAAAGCAAGGGGTAGATTTACCAACAGAACTATATCTTTCATGTATATATGAATGCACCTATTTAAAAGCATAAAGATTCTTCTGAAAATTAATTTCTTATGTATACTAAAATTACAGTATGTTATTTATTTGACATAGACTATTTGTTTTTTAAATGCCTTTTTTTTTTAAATGTTTTTTAAATATATTTACATATACATATGTATTTTACCTGTGTAAGGCAGTTTACATGGGGAAAATAAAGCCCGCGCATATTATAAACTTTTTGGTAAAATAAAAAAGTTCATTATATTGATGTTTTTTATTTAGTTATTTTTTAAAAACTCTTCACATGATACAATTTCATCATGGATAAAAAAAATCTTTAAAAACTTAAAAAAAAATTTCAAGCTTTAAGTTTAAACCAGTTCTGTTTTTTTTTTTTTAATCAAAAAACAAAACAAAAATAATTTAGCATGTGCTAAAAAAAAAATAATTTGACTTGATTATTATATAATATTATGTTGAAACGCATACAAATAGCTCTAAGCAATAACAAAAAGTGCCATTTAACTTTGAAAAACTGTATTTTCAACTTTTCAACTTATTTAAAGTTAAATTGTGCATGTCTTTTTTAATGGTTTGGCGTTCTTATTCTTGTTAAAATAATGCTTTCTAAAGTTTTCATATTCAATGATATTTATTAGCATTTATTAGCATTTATTAGCATTATTAGCATTTTCATGTATTTGTTTAAGTAACTAAGTTATTAAATAAATATAAAAATAATATAAAATTAATTGAAGAAAAAAAAACATCAAAATAAGTTAAAAATATTTTTTTAAATGCCTTTATTTTCATAGCTCCAACAGTTAATTGATCCTGCCGAAGTATATATATATATATATATATATATATATATATATATATATATATATATATATATATATATATATATATATATATATATATATATATATATATATATATATATATATATATATATGTATGTATGTATTAAGAGAGAATTGTTATTATCTATATTGCTGTTTTTAAATGATCCTTATTCTTATTGTGATAGTTACATCCAATAGTATACCATTTTTCATTGAATGGTGAACATGTGCACATAAATTATAAGTGTTTACAGAACTTCTGTAACAGAAGAATCGACTCTATTTATAGTATTAGAAGTTAAAAAAATGTTGTCTTGAACATTTTCAATGAAACAGCTATCTAATAATGCCTATTCTTTCCTAAGAGTTTATTTATAGTATTTATAGTCTATTTATAGTATTAGAAGTTAAAAAAATGTTGTCTTGAACATTTTCAATGAAACAGCTATCTAATAATGCCTATTCTTTCCTAAGAGGCTTTCCATTTATAGTATCATTTAATTTGACACCTTTTATTGTGATTTTATTTCAATATAAATTTGAAGATAATTCTATCATGTAATAATAAACATGACCATAGGTAAACAGATAGTTTAAATAGGTAATGTATGCCAACCCATTCTGGGTAAAGATATATTACTAACTATTGATAGTAAAATATTGCATAGTTTTGCATTGTACCAATTACCACCATCCACTTTGCTGTGAACTTGAATTCCTGTTTTCATACACCAAGAAACCCTTTCTATTAATTCAGACCTTTTTCTTTCTTTCTTTTGCCCATGATACTCAAGCCATCGTCTTAACTCATCGACATTTAGAAATATCTTTTTCAAATAATTCTCCAGGAACCTAATTTTTCAATAGAACAACCTTGTTTAAATTTTTGTTCATTGCCAATATAATTAATGCTGCAATCATATGTTTTAATAATATTACATAATAAAACCAATACAAATTATCACAACAAACAATCATGTCTTATAATAAGAAATACATTGTACTTGTCATATGTCTTTTAATAAGATCATATGTCTTATAATAAGTCATCATAATCATGTCTTATAATAAGAAATATATTGTAATATAATACATAATCATATGTTTATCATTGTAATATAATACAAAATAATCATGTCTTATAATAAGAAATACATTGTACTTGTCATATGTCTTTTAATAAGATCATATGTCTTATAATAAGTCATCATAATCATGTCTTATAATAAGAAATACATTGTAATATAAGACATAATCATATGTTTATCATTGTAATATAATACAAAATAATCATGTCTTATAATAAGAAATACATTGTAATATGCTTATACAAATGATTTGTTTGTCTGAATATCAATCCCAGAATACTTCTTTAATAATGTTACCACTAATATTAATATTATAAATAATTTCCCGATAGATAAAATTAAAATAAATACTTTATATTTACTCTATTTATTTTAACTGATTTAACAGTATATAGTTAATAAAACTGAGAATTTAAAACTTAGCAATATATTAATTGCACTTTAAAGGCTCTAATGAGACTGACAATTTGAAAAGGAAGTTTTATTGAAATAATTTTCTGATGTTATTATGGCAAAGTCATTAATAAATAAAACTCTAGTTCGACTTCATAGTAAAATTTAAATCATATTTTTTTCAAAATAATTCATAAAAAGTAAGCAAAAACTTGCTGGTGGGAAGCCAACAGCAATGTTATCTATTTTATTAGAAGACTGTATTCTAGAAAAAAATTATACTTGTGATGTTGCAAAGGTAAAGAGTTATTTTAGTTTTGTTGATTTTAAAATTTTACTGCATTTAAATAGAATTAAGAAAAGTTTTTATGGTTTTTTATCTCTTTCAAAGAGATAGGTGATTAGTTATTATTATTGAAATTGGTGTGTCTAAAAAACGATGTGTCTAAAACTTAAAATCTAATTTTCAGGATGCAATTTTTGTATTTTTGGGAGACCATTAATATGATGTTATTAAAAATATAGTTTTTATAAGTTAAAGAAATTAATTTTATTTTTAAATTGTTTTATCTATTTCATGCTGAAAAGAAGTTTTTGTAAATAGAAGAATTTTAGTTTTTTTATTTTAGCTTAATTTTTATTCAAATATTTTATTTTGAAGGAGTCGAGCTCTGGGTTCCATCACAGCAGTATTTGAATCAGTTAGCAACATTAGAAGACCAATCGCCTCAGCACGGTGTCATTACTCAAGATATGACATCTAGTTCGTTTATACCAAATCAACTAATTGAAAAGGTAAGGTTTTAAAAATATTATCAAATATTATTAACAATCATTTTTATATAAATATGTTCTATATCACCCCAGTTGGCACATAATGTTGTGAATACGAACAAGTTAACAAATATTTATGAATTTACAGCGTGATGTTATATGGTTTATTCTCAAGATTTTTTAGTATTATTTGTAAATTTGTGTTGTTTTATTGAAGGTTTATGTGGAGAGTCGTAGTCGTGCCAACTTTGCTAAGAATTTGACATTTGCAATATTTTCTGCTGAAGAAAGACAAGGTAAAAATTGCACTGGTAGAGTGTTTGGTAAAGCTCAACTTAAAGGACAACTTGATCAGACTAAACTACAAATGGTGAAAGAAGCAACATTTCGTAAATATCCGTGTCCAACTGAACATATAGATATGGCATGGCGTAAAGAGTGTATAACTGCTATAGACTCTGGTCTTCGAAATGAACATCGATCTTCTCGATCTGTAGCAATACAGTCAAATAACGAAGAATGTTCACGCGCAGGTAAAAACACGTGACAATGCCAAATAAGGCTTCTTTACTTGCTTAAGCTCATAATAATAAAAATTCGAATCTTAAAACTATGCTGCGGGTGTTAAATAATAAAATTGGCTTTAGGAAGGAAGGCGGGGAGGACGGGTTTTACTGAAGTTTTACTGAAAACATATTTATATATAATATTTTATTTTATTTTTTTCAAAAGTATTAAACAGAAAAGGATATTTTCATCTAAACTTTATTTTTTTTAATGAAAAAAGCTCTTACTTTAGTCATTAAAGTTTTGAAATCAGCTAAAACAATATACAAAGTGAAAAATAAGTTCGCGTAACAAATATTTTATACAGAATTACGAAAAACAGTTCGATTCACGTAATTTTAAACAAATGAGCTAAATTTAATACGCAACATTACAATTAAACTCAAATCTCAAATTGTCTTAGGAATTTATTTATCGCGGACCGCAGCGTCTTAAGTATGGTTTAGTCTCAGCCTGACGTGCAGCTTGCAAAGTTTTAACACTTCGGTGGGGCGTGGCACAGGTTTTGGCTCTTTAAAATAACCCGATAGGATTGAGGTAAAGACTATTTGAAGCAATTTATTCTTGGTAACAATTTCGGGGTAATTATCACAAAAAAAAATTCTTTCTGTTTGACTTTATGTTCTGAGGCTGAGTCCTGCAGCCATAACGCAGTGACTCTAGAACTTGCTTATAAAAAAACTTTCTAGTTAATCTTGAGGTTTGAAGTCCATCATTTAATACGGCTTTTTTGTGTTAAGTCCATCATTTAGACTTATTTGTTGAGATGCCGACCCAAACTATTAAAGAAAGTAGATAAGCAAGTCGTGAAACAATTTAACCCCCAGAATTTATAAGATAATTTAACTAGCGTATGCTTGATTGTATGTGTTCTGAATCTTATTATACATAAACTTTAAATATATATATTTTTTTAAAAACGTGAAACTAGTGCTTTTTTAAAATAGGAGTTTTTTTTTAATTCTATTTGATGCAAGTTTATTATCAGTATTAAATGATGGATAACTCTATAATTTTTGATTTTTTTTGGCTTAATTCTAGTAAAAGCTGAACAATTAGGATGCGGTGGAGATGTTTAAAAATAGATTGATTCACGTTTTGCGATGAAGGTCTCGCCTCTGTGTTCTAAAAATATATTTATTTTAAGACGAATGCTTTTAAAATAAATACAAACTCAGGGAAAAAATGACGCAACTTGGTTGTTATCATTAAGTTAATATAAGTTAAGAAAGGGATTTATAAAGACCGAAAGTGTATATCAAAAGAGTAAATAAAAGTTCTAGCATTATTTTATAAATATTTATTTATTTGAAAAAATTAATTATTTTATGTTAAAAAATATTGCCAACAAGCTATTTTCTATAAGCAAGGAGTTATAATAAAATTTTTGAAATAACTTAGGTAAAAGTCGACATTTTTTTACTTTTCATTTACAACGTTTCCAAAGATAACCGGAAGTTTGACTAACTATGCGCATCAATTCAAAAATTAAAAATATCTTACGATTTCTTTGGATTGGTCTGTTTAATATAAGTTTCGTTTGGATTGGTTCAAAATAAACTCTTCTTATCTTACTTTATGATTGTAAAATATTTTTAAGGAGAGTTTGATTAAAAACAAAAGATCAGCTCCATTATTATCGTTAATAAAAAATTAACTTGTTAAGAAAAAAGAATAGCGAACACAACCATAATAAAAATAAAAGACCGAAAATTAAGTTTCTTTGTGTGCAAGCAGTTTTATTTTTAACAAAAATTAAGATTTTTTTTTTTTATAAAAATTAAAAACTAACAAAATACAATTCTAATTAAAGTACAGTTTCTATAAAAATTACCAAAACTATTTGGTAAATTTTTGAGGTTCCTTAACGTGAAGCAAGTTTTTATTCACTCATAGAAAATATCTTCAAAACAATTTTATTGCTTCAATATTTTTAGCATTGGTTTTACATAAGACCATTTTTCTTGACAATTATTAAACTCTATTTTGTTTAAATTTTTTTTTGAAGTTTATGATTTTAAGCTCGACCTATTATCATGACACTCTCTTTGATATTTTAAGCTCGACCTATTATCATGACACTCTCTTTGATATTTTAAGCTCGACCTATTATCATGACACTCTCTTTGATATTTTAAGCTCGACCTATTATCATGACACTCTCTTTGATATTTTAAGCTCGACCTATTATCATGACACTCTCTTTGATATTTTAAGCTCGACCTATTATCATGACACTCTCTTTGATATTTTAAGCTCGACCTATTATCATGACACTCTCTTTGATATTTTAAGCTCGACCTATTATCATGACACTCTCTTTGATCTTCTACAGATTGAAAATTTGACTTAATGCTGTGCATATTTATTATACTCTTCTTTTTCTTTGGTTATTCTATAAATCAAGAAAAAAAAATTAAAAATGAAAAAAGATTTTTCTTGATTTAATGAATAAATATGGCTGATGATTGCAAAAAGACATGAACCATCACAAAAATGTATTTTTTCAAATAATCTAACGCTATATATATTAATACCGATCATGGCTACTTAGTAAGTATTGCCATGATACTGATCTATTTTGTAAAGAATTTACATTATACTGATCACTCTTAAACGAACAAAAGACTTTGTATCTTAACTTAATACAACAAAACAACAATAATAAGCTCTATATATTGAGCACTCTTTTCAAGTCGTCTACGTTATGGAAAAAACTTGAATTATTCAGTCAACAACATTCCGATTCCATCAATAAAAGACAACAATATATGTGTGTGTGTGTGTGTGTGTGTGTGTGTGTGTATGTGTGTGTGTGCGCGTGTGTATGGCTGTATACATACACCCAAAAAAAAATTGTTTTAGGGTATTACACATTTTTATAAAGATGCTTAATTATAAGGCCAAGTGAAATGATAATAAATGAAAGCACTAAATAATGTGCAAGCTGCAAGATTTCCATTATAATAATTTTAATCATTTTAATATTGATTTTTATACAAAAATATTTGAGATAATGTGACAACTAAATCTTTAAAAGCATTTATCACACCTTCAACGATCTAGAAATATCTTTAATTGTGAAGAAAAATGTAAAGATTTCTTCAAATATGTTTGTATTTATATATAACCAATATTATATATATTCTATTATAATTATTCACGATATCTTTGAATTTCTATAATTACTTTTGGTTGATTAGTTACAATTTTTAGCACTTCATATAACATTGTTTTTCATTTTTTAAGCTTTTTATATTACCTCATATATAAAAAATACTGGCTCTACCCCCTGATATGATGGATAATAAAAACTTGTATTAAATTTCTGACAACAGAATATGGTAAGTAAATTTAGTTCAACAATGTCGAATTAAGTTTATCTATTTAACAGCATGAAATATAAAAAAATGACGTTTTTTATTCAAACATTGAAATAAACAAAACATTTAAAATTATAAAACAGCAAAAAAAAAGAAAAGTTTTTTGAATCTTCAACTTAAATGTAAAAAAAACTTGAATAAGGTAAACTTATATACACCCTTTATATACCAAAAATAACTTCATAAAAGATTTTTGCGTATTTCAATAAATTCTTTTAGAGAATTTATTATATATTTATGATTACAAGTCTCAATAAGTTCACAAATCAAACATTTCAAACAAATAACTTCGATTTTCATGATAAGGTTTGATGTTTGTTTAGTATAAACGAACAACCTATTTTATTGAAAGCAACCCTTTTTAAAAAGCTGACGCTAAATGTTTTTGGAAACAAAACATTCCGTCTCGAAGGTTTGTTGATTTTTATTGTTGTTACTTTTTATATTTCTATTTTTATTGTCATTAAATTATAACAAATATTGAAAATTTATGATCGTCATCGTTTATTTTTTTCACAATTCTGTGAAAAAGATTTAAAATAAAACTACATTCTTTCACAAAGACATCGTTGAAGAGTAAGCAGTGCGTTCTTCCGATTAGCTACACTTCGAGTGTAATATGTTTTAAAGATTTCAATGATTAAACAAAAAATTTGGTTATTGTTTTTTTTTTCCTTCTTTTCGTCAAGAGAAATTATCTTTGATCTGTATTTAAAAAAATAAAATTGACTATAATATAAATAAAAAAATAAAATTGACTATAATAAAATAAAACTATAGTTGAGTTAAAAGACAGTTCGTCAACTATTAAACGCGCAAAAATATGTTTTTTTAATTTTAACTTCATGTAGTTTTTTCTAAAAACATTATTTATATCTTCATAAAACTATATTATGCATCACTAATTTTGTCCAATTTTTTATTTATATACGTTTTCTTGTAAAATAATGATTACCAGTTTGAAATTAATTTTTCAAAAAACTCCAAGGCATTTATCAGCTTCATAAGATGCGAACGTAAAAATACTATGCGTGTAACTTTGTGCGCGCCAAACAAATGTACTAAATAAATAATATAAAAAAAAGTTTTTTTTTTCCAATAACTGTTTTGAATTTAAAAAAATAAATAAAATCGGAAAAAAAAAGTTTAAAGCCAGTTCAAAATTTCACATAGTATTTTCAACCTTTTGATTTCATCAGAAAAACCAAAATTTACCTTTTACGAGACCAGTTTATATCTGTTAAAAACTAGATTGTATTAAAAATGCAGTGCAAATAATATTTGAAACCAGCAACACCTCACTTAGTAGCAATAACCCGTTTTTTTTTTTTTTTTAATTTTATTTTTAGGTGCCCCAAGAAGACCTAACGGTCTTGTCACAGAACACCGCGGAAGTGCATTTAATCAGGAAGTTCACGCCTCCTTCCTTACCGAGACGCGAAAATATGTCCAGAGTTCGTTTCGAACCAGGATCTCCTGCTTATAAAGCAAGCGCTTTAACCATCGCGCCACAGCTGCACCCTTGACGGCAGAGTATAGGCACGACGCTTGAGCGCCATCCATTTTCAGGGCTAGTTGATTCGGCAGGTCTTTCCTTAACAGTAGGGACTATATCTGACCGTCTGAAAAAAAATGATTGGATTTTTTGCGTAGTGCTTTTAACCACTAAATATTTACGAATAATGAGTCTAAACGTAAAGTAGTTTTCCAGAAGCCAACTGGCGTTTTCTATTTTGTGTAATCCAAAATAAAATGAAAAGTAGAACAACCAAAAACAAAAATAGAAGACTGAGAAGCGATAATCAAGAACAGA